CGCTGTGAGATGCACAGACACCTGCATTAATTTCAGTTCAACTTTATATCATCCATAAACATCTCTGTTTTGGACACCTCATCCAAACAAATGCTCACAGAAGACTCTATGTAAAATTCAATTTTATGAAACTATAAAAGTTCCTTGCTGTTAATTACAGAGAAAAATGTCTTATCACACATTTGGTTACCAGATAGCATAATCAGTTTTCTCCATTAACCTTTCAGATATAAGATTTGATTTCCAAGTAAAAAACACTGTAAAACCCTTGGAATTCAAATAACACAGTAAATTTCTACAGGTTTAAAAAAAATGCAATACTAAGAAAACAATTTTATGGATTCTTATTCACAAGCATACTGTCTGGAATACTGAAAGAAAATCTGTCTAACCTTCTTAATGATTTTAAAATATATTATGAAGTATGCTTGTAATAAGCTGTCCTTTGTATAGAAAGGAGGCACAGCAACCTGACCATCAAAGGGATGTGCCCTTTGAGCTCTCTCTTCTAGTTATGGTGATGCGGCTGAACTGGGTCATCACAGCCTATCATCTGATCCCCCTTTAGACTGGCATCTGTGAAACAACTGACTATGGAAGGGTGTTCAGTCTATGGCAATGGAATAGTTTTTTATGCTCAAAGCTATACTGTCCACAGATGACTGAATGCATTGCCTTGGCCTGCTAAGGACCAATATGTAGCTCACCTATGTAGGGGGCTTTTTTTGGGGGGGATAATAGTTCATTTTTTGTTGTTGTTGAGAATATACACAGCAGAACATACACCAATTCAACAATTTCTACATGTCAACATTCAGTGATATTGATTACACTCTTCAGGTTGTACAGCCATTCTCACCCTCCTCTTCCAAATTGCTCCTCCCCCATTAACATTAACTCGCTGCCCCCTAGGTTTCCTATCTAATCTTTCGAGTTGCTATTGTCAATTTGATCCCACATAGATGGTTCTTAAAAGAACATAATGCTTAAGGCAGACATTCTTTATTAGTTAAGCTAAACTATTATTAGGTTTTAAGAAGACTTCAGAGGATATTTTGGTTTAAGTTTTAAAGATTACCTCAGGGTAATAATTTCAGGAGTTCATCCAGCCTCAATGGATCTAGAAAGTCTGGATTTCATGAAAATTTAAAATTCTCTTCCACATTTCCCCCCTTTTGATCAGTATTCTTCTATAGAATCTTTGATCAAAGCATTCAGTAATGGTAGCCAGGTACCATCTAGTTTCTCTGGTCTCATGGCAAAGGAGATAGTTGTTCATAGAAGCAATTAGTCTTACATTCCATTTTGTAGGGGGTGTTTTTAGGCACGATGACTAGGTTGGATGCTACCAGCAAACCAACCCATTGTCATCGAGTTGATTCCCACTTGTAGTGACCCTATAGGATAAAGCAGAACTGCCCCATAGGGTTTCCAAGGCTGCAATATTTATGCAAGTAGACTGCCACATCTTTCTCCTGTGGAGCGGCTGGTGGGTTCAAGATGCCAGCCTTCTGGTTAGCAGCTGAGTGCTTTAACCACTGCACCACCAGGGCTCTTTAGGTTGGATGTGACTGACATTTATACACATTTATGCTACCAACATTTAGAGGGTGGGATCAAGGCCTCGTGCAATGCATGGGACAGTCCTGCACAAGAAAAGTCTCAGTAAACAAACTGTCCCACTCAGAGCAGCTGATAACTGGCAGCAACTTACATTTTAACATGTTTTAATATGGTACTTGTTCATTTATTCAAAAATAATTAGGGAGGGTCAATGCGCCAAACACTGTGCACCTGAAATACAATAAATAAAACTCAAAGTCTTCCCCTGAAGAAATTCAAGCCGAGACTTGAAAGATGAATGAAGGATCACATAGACAAAGGGAGTAGAGCGCCTTCTAAACAAAGAGACCAGCAGAGTACTGGGGGTGGGGGGGAGATGGGTACACAAGGGCACAGAAGTGTATTCTATTTCAGAGTTAAACTTTAAAAGGGGCTCTGGAAAAAGAAAATGAAAGAAGAAAAAATACATAATTAACTGAAAAATAAATATTTTATTGTTAGTATTATCTAAGATGGATATGTAAATTTTCATCCAAATGAGCCAGGGTGAGAGCTTAAAGGTAAAATCATTCATTTATCAAGCATTTATTGATGTTTGTTATGTGACTAGAATAGTGCTAGGCAGTAAGGATACAGAGAAAACTCTTAGAGAGTTTACAATCCAGTGGGAGAGATATATAAGTAAACTAAAAGTTCCTTGCTTTAACAGACATATGTACAGGATGCTGTGGAAGGGAAGGTGAGAGGGGGAAGACTGCCTGGAGGAAGTTACATCAACTTGTGGTCTTAAGGGATAGGAAAGAGTTGAGCCAATAAGGGAGGGCAGGTGGGAGCGTGGCATTCTGAGCAGAGGTGGTACGTGAAGAGGCACTGAAGTATAAAAGTGCATGGCCTACAGGGTGAGGAAATAGGGTCCGGCCCAGGAATTAAAAGTGGTTTGGTATGGCTAATGCATGGAAGACGAAAGGTGCGGTGTAAGAAATAAGCCCAAAGGAGCAGACAGGTGCCAGTTCATACAAGGTCTTAACTGTCATGCTAAGGAGTTTGGGTTTCAACCTGAAAGCAACAGATAATGAAGACTTTCAGGCAGGGGAGCAGGCCGAGCTGCTCACAATCCTTAAGGATCCTAAAGGCATTCCCTGGATCAGTCACTATAGGTTTGAGATTCTGCATCTTTCCTCTGTCCACCTCCTCTTGCCACTGCTGGTGCATTCCTTTCCAGGTAGTTTCCTCTCCAATAATCTGTTACTTACAAGAAAACAGACTTCCTGCAGAAACGTCCTCAATCTATTTTTAACTTTGAGAAGCAAAACACACTGTTCCAAAATGTTCATTCTATCTTATATCTGGCCATATTATTTTCTTCCAAAAGTAAAATCTACATTCCTACAGGAACCAGAGAGGCAAATTATTAATACATCTCCTTAGATTTTACACTTTGTGGAGATTTCTTTTTATGATTTGGTTGTGATCAGTTTAGCAAAATAAAATATCACAACATAACACACATTTCACATATAGGGCAGATGCTAAACTACACAGAGCCTTCATGAGATACAGAAAAAGGTAACTTTCTTAGGACAGATGCTGCCCCATGCACAGGTCTTGGTGACAGAGTGCAGGCAGGGTTTCAGCTCCACTCGTCCCTAGTTGAGCACTCTTGGGCAGGGCAGGTACAATCTGTGCAACTGCATGCAGGGGGACCCTGTTCCCTCAGAAACATTACATTTGCTAACGGCTATTCCATTCGCTAAGTGCTATATCATACTACTGTTCCAACAACCACTGCTGTTGTTGTTTAATGCATGGCTTTATTTTCCTAAATTAAGGTAGAAAATTTTTCTTTATGTGGAATCTGAGAACTAGACAATGTCAAAATCAGCTTATAAACAGATCAGTAGTATCTTAAGCACCTCTGTAAAGCTGTACCAATGTCACAGCAGGACACTGAACAAGCAGAACATAGGTTATTTTTCAATTTTGGTATTCAACATGCCACTGGCTTTCATATGTGAGTTCCTTGTCTTTTTGGTCTTTTCTAGATTAAAAAAAAAAAAAAAAGATTTCAGGTTATGTTTCACAACTCAACATCAGAAATCTCAAATTTCTGTTTAGTATATTACAAAAGCTTCTTCAAGTTAGATGAGGTTATGTTTTAGTTTGGCTCACTGTCTGTAAAATCTCAGTATAATGATAATATTTTAAAGCTGATCTTCAGAGTCCTATATAATAGTGCCCATATATTCATGCATTTAAATAACAAATATCTGAGTACGTATTATTTGAGTACCTATTATAAATACAACACTGTGCTAGGCACTCCAAACGATACAAAAAAGAATCCAGGTCACACTTGCTCTCTAACCGAACCAGAGGCATTGCCATCAAGTCAATTCCGACTCATAGAGACCTTATAGGACAAAGTAGAACTGCCCCACAGGGTTTCAAGGCTGTAAATCTTCACAGAAGTAGACTGCCACATCTTTCTCCCACGGAACAGCTGATGCGTTCAAATCGCCAACCTTTCAGTTAAGCAGCCAAGCACTTAACCACTGCACCACTGCTCCTAGACACAGACAGATCCTCATTTATATCCTAGCTCTGTCACTGACTAACTTTGTGAAATCTTCAAATTCCTCATCTGTAAAGCAGGAATAAGGAGCCCTGGTGGCACAAAGGTTAAATGCTCACGTTACCTGAAACGGTTGGTGGTTAGAACCTACCCAGTGGATCCAAGAGAGAAAGACCTCGAGATCTGCTTCCATAACGATAGCCAAGAAAACCCTATGTGACAGTTCTACTCTGTCCCGCGGGGTTGCTATGGGTTCAAATCAACTCAATGGGACCTAACAACAACAAAAAAGTGGGAGTAATAATACCTTTCATGGGACAGTCAATGAAATAACATACACAAAGCCAATGAGATAACATATACATAGTGCCTGGCACACAAGATCTGGGTAAATGACTTCATTCCTAATCCCAAGAGATATTCATAGCTTTCTGTTCCCTTCACTCCACTTTCCACCAAAAAAGGAGAACTGAATATGGAAAAGGACAAGGACACAAGGACACAGCTGGGCCACGGTGCTAAGAGTGGGGCTTCAGAGAGGAGGGGCTCTTGTTTCCAAATGATATACCTTTTGGGGGTTCTTCCTCTACCTCTCTCTTAGTCCTCTTGGACTTATTTGAGAATGCTTCTCTTGCTTGGAGCTCCAGACACTGGTAAGGTGAAATGTCAGGGCCTTCTTCCATTTGGAAGGAGGGACTCAGCTCCCTAGGCCTTTGAAGGTCAAACAAGAACCAGGCAGGGACCCAGGGGATCAGGGACAAAGAGCAGGCCACTCAACTGTAGGTGAAGAGCTCTTCATTTTACACAGGGACCTGCCAAATTCTCCAAAAAGGGAATTACATTGTGGAGACGGCTAAATCCCTACCTTGTAAAGTGTGTAGGATTTTCCCAGTGTGTCTTGTTTGAGGAGATTCTTTGGGCCTTAGTGGGAGTGGCTGTCATCAAGAAAACAACTGAAAAGAGATTCAAAAATTCAGAGATCTCAACCCTGCGTAGCTGGCATGGTTACTATATCATGTGCTTCTGGTACTGAAAGCTGTGTAACTTAACTGAATATTAAAAACAACAACTAGACGAGGGCTTGGCATATAATTGAAGCTCAGTAAATATGACCTGAATGAATAAATGAATGAGAGACTACTGAACACCTGAAGAACAAACATGTTAGAAATTTACATACTATAATGGTAAATCTGGAGTCCCTGGCTGGTGCCTGGTGGCATGCTTGGCTGGTAACTGAGAGGTTTGAAGTTCGAGTCCACCCAGAGGTTCCTTGGAAGAAAGGCCTGGTGATCCACTTCTGAAAAATCTGCCACTGAAAACTCTATGCAGCACAGTTCTAGTCCGACACACGAGGTCACCATGAGTTTGAATCAATTCCACAGCAAATGGGTTCGCTTTTTTTTTTTTAATAGTAAGTCTAAACCATAATCTAATATTTACAAAGAGATTTTATTTAATGTTTCTATTATTGTTATGAATAATATATTCTCATTAAAATGCTCACTTTTATAGATGCAAAAATCCTCTACAAAATTCTAGCCAATAGAATTCAACAACATATCAAAAAAATAACTCACCATGACAAAGTGGGATTCATACCAGGTATGGATGGATGGTTCAACATCAGAAAAACAGTCAGTGTACTCCATCACATAAATAAAAGACAAGAATCATATGATCTTATCAACTGATACAGAAAAGGCATCTGACAAAGTTCAACACCCATTC